CAGCGACTTAAACATTCCCTTAGTTCCGCTCGGAACTGCCAGGATAACGCAAGGACTGCGCTTCTCTGGGCTCTCCTGGTCTATGGCGGTCCTCGGGGCGTATGTGTTACTTGCATCGTTTTTGTGTGCATCTCTTGCCTGCCAAATTAAATTGTGGACTCCCTTTTCATTGCATATGCTACATATACGTCCCTATTAAACCCACATCGCACACACACACTACCGCATTTTATTTCATTAGCGCGTAAAATTCCTTTTAATTAATATATATAAAATTGTTGCTGCTGTCGGTCAGCAGTGGCTCCGTCTACTTGGGGTTCAATTTGTGGAACACAGCCCCAGACATGGCCCCCTGCCCTGCCTCTCCGGGGGCTCCCTGGCTCCCTGCATTTTATTTCATTTTTGCTTGAGCATAAAATGTTGAAAGCAGCCGCTGGACGTGCGCAGCATGTTTAATTATCTCCAAATGTGGATGCGGATGCGAGTGTGCGAAAGTGTGGATATGTGTCGAGTAGGGCGACGGACGGCGTCCTGTGGTTGCGGCTCATGTGGTCAGTGTTTCAAGTCCAAGCTTAATGACCCGGCTCTGGATCTGGGTCTGTTTAGTTGCCATTAAATTGCACATGAACTTGTTGGCTGTAATTCGAAATGGTGCAGAAATTTCAAATGGAATTAAGAGTTGGGGGATGCCCAGATTAAGTTGATTAGGGTAACTTTAAAAAGCTTTTCATAAAATTCCATAGTTGCACATGAAGTATCTAGTTATTTAATAAATCTCGAATATTGGTAGTTGTTTTTAAAGCTACAGCCTCAGCAACATTTTACCCGAGCCCTGCAGATGAGTTTCATTTTCTAGTTCTCACTTTGCTGCATAATTTGCAAAACAAATTGAAAAACACTTGCCATGCATTGCTTACACGAAGGTATATTGTTCTTCTAGTTTGTCTACAGAAAGAATTTGCATATCCCAGCAGTTGTGGGAACTGAAAATTTGACTAACTTAACTAGGACTTTATCTGCTCTCCCTTGCTTTTATTTAACAGAGATTGTTTTCCTTAAGCTTAAAGTTTTTCATGGGACTTAAATTTTGTTTTAATGGTCAAGCGGCTTAAGCTTGTACTTGTTAGACATTGTTGGTAAGTAATATTATAGCCAAAGATTCATGCTTCAGGCCTTTAACAAAGGATAAATAAGAAATATTTTGGATAAGATGTTTTAAAATTATATTGAATCTTGAATTTTCATATTTTACAATAATAACACACTCAGTGGAGGATCAAATCGAAATTCTTCTGATAATTAAAACCTTTTTGAGATTTTTCTTTGCACTTTAAAATTGTAATTATTAAATCGCCAACTTAAGGATTTAAAAATACCCTGCGTTCCTGGAGTCGTTGATATCTAAAAAATTGGTATGCAAGTCCGACTTTCTAGCGTCTAAAGCGTCGTTTCTCCGCGGCGTTGTTTTTTCTCTCCCGTTTTTTTGACCGACAATATTAATATGAATGACTGTCATGCCTTGGTGTTGGTGTCCCTGCCTGGGTGTGCGTATAATTATGTGGATGTGTGTGTGTGCAGCCGAACGTTAAATGTGCACGTGACAAGCGTGTAATGAGGAAGTCTTCGGTCCTCGGTTTTCGGTCTTCGGTCTCCGCTCGTCTAGGATGGCAGCCTGGCTGGATGGCAGGATAGCCGGCCAATATATATCGGGATGTGCACCATATATATGAGGCAATGTCGTGCCATGTTACGCATATATCCGACTCTACATATATTTCAATCATTTTAAGTGTGTTTGTGTTACGACGTCAGCAGGACAGAGATGCCACCGCAGGATAGTCCGGCTCCAGCACCCGAGACCAGGGTGCCGCCCGTGTCCTGGTTTCGTTGTCGTCTGAAAATTGGACAATGATTTATGAGGCGTTAAGTCAAACTTCATATTAATTTCATTTCGTTTTCAACCAGCACACTGTCCGCCTCCCAGCGGCTGCTTTAAAGTTGAAAATGAGCGCACATGAGGACACGTAAGCAACGAGAATAAAAGCCAGTCAAGAAGGATAAAATCCGTCTGAGCATTCGATAGCTAGGCGAATGAAGGTAACCGGAAAACGTGTTGTGAATTTATGGAATGCTACCTCCGAAGCTGAACAACGAATTGAGTATGTTCTCTATGCTATGATTGGAAAATAAAGTGTGGTAAGTATTATCTATAGCGAAGTAACTTGGGAGATCCTTGCTAAACAAAGTTATTAGATTGCAAAAAACTATTTCAGGTTAAAGAGTATGAAATAGTATGCAATTCTTTGCCTCTCTTAAATATTTACCTTAATTTTAGGTACAAATTTTCTCAAAAAGAAAGAAAGAACATTCAATTCGGTCTTTCAATTCTCTGCCAAATAAATAACTTTACAAAACCATACCATACACACACTTAAGCATTTCAAAATTTCGTTCGACGTATTTTGGGCTCTGTGGCCCTTTTCTCCCTCAAGCATAATCATATTTTCTGCCAACAATTGTATAACATGTGTAATTTGAGCATTTCATTCATTCATTCATACATTTATTCGTTCGCACTCAGACACAGACACGTCCGAACACACACACACACACACTCACACGCACTCTGTGTATGTGTGTGCTGGGCTGTGAAAATAACTTGTGGCATGCTTTGAGGCGTTTGTGCGGGTTGCCAGGACTTTGAGCACTCACTCCCGTTTTCACCCAGCATTCTCCAGTGGTTTTTGCCTTTTTCACACTCCCCTGCTTCCCTGCTCCTGGCTCCTGTCTCTGGTTATTGGCCAGTGAAGCGTTAACCATGGTCAATAAAAAATTTATTTAGACAACCACAACGGCAACACAAATTTTTGCTGTTTTCTGATATAAAAAAATATTATCCTCAGTTGGAAATATTTTTTGGCAGGCAACACAACATGGCAGCACAAAAAATACTTGTAAATTCTGCCTTCTCTCCTCCCGGCTCTGGGCTTGATGGTGTCGAGTGTTGGCATTTGATTTATTTGGGGCGTTTAAATATTTCAAATAATTCATATTTTATTGACTAGGCACGACCGCTGGCAGGGGAAGCGGCGGGGCAAAGGAGCATTTCAAACTCTCTGGCCAGAGCAATTAAACTGTATTGTGCACTTCGTGTGTTAATTCAATTTGGTTTGCAAATTTTTCAAAGCAAATTTTGGTTTAGTGCCTGATTGAGGGCTCGTTTTTCTTTTATTATTTGTGGAAAATGTGTTCATTCAAATATCACAGGCGACATATCGCACTGAATTAACGAACCATTTGCCCAAACTATAATTTAAATAGGTGAAATATCCAGGCATAAGATCTGGTTGCCATAAACTTAAATCGTTTGACAAATTGCCAAACAGGGGAGAAACACTTGAAGCTGGCAAACAATTAAACAAACCAAGAAACAAACGGCAGGCAAACAATAAATGCATTTTGTGTTGCATTTTCTGGCCAACGAGAATGTCTCCAGGGTCAATTTCAAATGCATTTACACAGCCACAAACACAGACGCACAACAATCGCACTCACACAGCAACACTCAAAATATAGATTAGTGTAATTACTATACCATGGAAAATGACGTCGACATGAACATGGCAAACGGCTCAAGGGCATTTCCACTCCATTGGGGATGAAATCGATGGGGCTGCGATGGCCTGGCATGGCATTAGGTTGGGCGGGGCTGCATGGATCGGGAATTCTGCTTTTGATTTCATTTCATTACGCATTTGCAATTTCAACTATGAATAATTGAAAATGTGCATTGCATACTTTAAGGCCCAATTTGGCATTACAATCGGGGAGAGCTGTTGTTGCAGTTGCAGCTACGATTGATGTTTTCGGCTAATTCAGCCGAAATATGCTTATTACGCATTAAAACTAATTAAGCATGAACTCTATTTGACAAATGCCGCCTGGCCAACACCCCCCCCCGCAGCCCCTGTGGACCGGAGAAGTTCGGGTCCGGCTTGTTTATGCTCAAAATCTGATTGATGGCAGCCGGTCGAACTTTCCTGGCATTTAACTTTGATTTATAGAAATTAGTCAGCTTAATTGGGCCTCGATTTCAGATATGATAATGTAGCAATTGAGCCAGGAGCTCCATGCCCTGCCGCCAGCCTCCGCTTTACTTACCTTAATGGGTCTTAATTGCCATTTCTGCAGGACTCTTCAATTACCAGGCCATTAGGTGCGAGTGTCAAGTGGAATGATACAAAAAAACAAAGGGGAAAAACGTGAGAAACGGAAATTCCGACTGGAAATTACTTCCAACACACAGAATATAATTTATTATATATTCTAGTGTATTATTCCTTTGGATTTACACTCTTAAAACTGAAAAATATGGAAAGATAGCTCTAATTTGATGAAATTTAATACACCCTTGTACTCAAGCACTAATGGGTATAAAGGACGAAGGGAAATAGGGAAACCCCGGGCGAAAAACAAAGTCAGTAGCTCACTTAGAGAGCGTCCAAGCAAACACTTGCCAGCACTCGGCATAAATTAATTATAATTCCCCTTGTAAGTGCTCCGTGTAATTGTAATTGTTGTAATGGCTGGCTTATAATTGTCGGTCTTGTTGATACTGTTTCAGTGGCTGTTTTTGGTGTTACTGTTGCTGTTTCCGTTGTTGTTGTTGTTGTTGTCGTCGTCGTTGTCGTGCTAAACAATTAAGTGTAAATTGTAAAACATGCAGAGCTGCGGTCTGCGGTCTTGTCTCGAATTGTGTGTGTGTGTGTTTATGGGGATATCCCGAAAACGGAAGTTGAAACTGAAAAAGAAACAACAAAACTATTTGGGGTTCTTTATTTAAGAGAGTTTTTCCGTTCAGTAACATTATTTTAAATTAAGAGCAATAACAATCGGACTATGAAGTTTTATTTAATAAAAACCTAAAGGTTTTTAGGATTACTGTAATGAAACTAATAGATCCCCCTACATTGAGCCATTAGATCAAAACTACCCTTAGGTAAGAAGTAATCATTGTAGGATTTATTTCTTTTAGTGAAAAGTCTAAAATTGTAAAATAGGGAGATCTCGTAAGTAATTTCTCCTCATCATTTGTCGCTAAAGCTACGGGTAAGGGCATCCGAAATAGCTTCGTATGACACCATTTGGATAGCTCCGCTTGGAATGGCTCGCATAAGCAGCGGTGTCAGGCCCTTGTACATCGCCCGTATACCTTCTTCCCGGTAAATAGTCCTCAGCGTCTGAACGGTCCAACCGTACTTAATCACACCCCGCACTGGCTGAGGCGCCTGGATCCGGCACTTGGCCAAGTCTAGGGGGACGCTTAGCGTGCAGCCCATGGCGCCTGAAAAGCTTGCTATTGCGAACCTAAGAAGCAGTTCGGAGGTCGAATGCTGCACGACGGGAGCCCGACTCTTTATGTTTGCGTATACGCCAAAATAGGTGAATTGGAAGACGACGTTGCGTGCTATGAACGCCGTAATGCCTCGATAAAGACCTTTCATCCCGTAGCCGTTCCGCCTAATTATGTGCTTGGCCATCGCCAAGGTCTTCAAACGCTTCGCCTGATGAACTTGCTGCGTTATCTTGACCACCTCGAATGGATTCATCAGAAAGGCCTCAACGGTTCCAGAAAGAGCACCGGCGATGGCATAAGTCATTGAAGTTGGCTGAGGACCGAACTGCACCAGTGGCTTGAACAGGGAAATCGTCAAGAACTTGATGCCCCTCTTCGGCGGGTCAATGAACAACGGTGGCACGATGCCCCTCCAGAAGGCAGTCAGGCCCTCGTGTCTGTATATCTTGACAAAGGCGTCACGGACGCCACTGTAGGTAACTCTAGAAGGCACCCTGTCGATGCCCTGCACCTGGAGCCGGGACTTGACCAAGTCCAGCGGACTCAATAAGACCACCTCCAGCATGCCTACCGCCATGCCGGCTAGGAATTGAATGGACGCTCGTCGGCGTGGCGGTAGCTCCGTGTGGGCACTAGCCATTCCGGCTTCGGGATCGAATTCAAAATTTTGTCTGGATTCATTTTGCTTAAATTAATCAAAACACTGATGTAAAACTCAACTACCGGATATGTTTCGATAAAAATTATTCTAAATTTTCGCTATTCGTGCTAAGATATAATATAATTTCTAATATATTAATACAAATTTTATACTCACCTTTTATAGATCAGGAAAATAATGTAAATTACTACGTTTTCTAGTCAAACTTGAACACCATTCATTATGTATTCCTGCAAAATTTGAACACAGAGATTTGCGAAGGTCCTTCCTAGTTATTTTTCGCTTCGGTTAGCACAACTTGCCGTTGCCTCCCCGGAATCCGATGTCTCTCAGAGTGCCATGTTAATGAATGTCAAGTGCACTGCGTGTAGCCACCTCAAACCCGAACCCTGCATCCTCTCCATCAAAAGGGCTGCTGTGTGCGGCCGACTCCTGGGCGATCTCATAACAACAATTATGCTAATGTGGCCCAATCCGGGACGTCAATCCAACATAATTGCTAACAAATTAGTCATGGTCGCACAGGCCAATTGCAGCCCAGTCCCAGTCCCAGTTCCACTCCCCCACTGCTCATCTTCATCCACATCCTCTGCTCTTTTGGCCCAGTTACAAATGTGTGCGGGGGAGTCCATTCAGCCGAGTATAACACGCGAGCAGAGTGCCAGATAGGTGCGGCGAGGAGGTAGCCACATTGTCTGTGGCCAGGTGTGTGTCCTGGCAATTTGCCTGTCACGCTGCACAAAGGCAGAGCCGGTCCTGGCCACAACCAACTGTGGAGTGCTCCATTCTCCTCCGTCTGATGAGGCAAATGAGCCTCGCTAGCATGTCCTTCAGCTGCTCCTTGACTGCCAGGCTTGTTGGCCTCAAGTACCTTTTGGCGTCGGGTTTCCCAGGTCCTTGCTCATAAGTCAGCTCATTGCCGCCGGCTGTTCCGGGTCCTGTTGTTCTGCCATTCCGGAGCCAGGGGCCAAGGTGCCTGGCCTCCTGATGGAGAGCGTTAAATTTATATTAGAATATTAGGGCAACGAGTGGGGGCTCTTAAGTCAGGTGAAGTGAAGTGGCGTCAATTTGTGGTTCAAGCTGGCCGCATCTGGAAATGGCCAAGTGACTGATGACGGGGCTATTAAGAAGAGCTGCTCACGAGTTGGTTTCGCAATTACAGGGATCGACGTTGGTTCAATGGGTAAGAAGAGGTTGTTAATAAAGCGGAACAAGAATAATATGTTATGGCTAGAGAAAAATGGCACTTGAATTCGAAAACTGTATGAATTTAGAGTTATTATATATGTACTTTGGTTTATCGGAATATGCGAATATATATAATGTATAGAAATACGATGTATGATTTATTTATATAAATTTAAAATATTTGTTTAGCACATCTTCCTATCCATTTATAAATTATAAGAGATAATCTGCAAACGTTTTTAATTATTTCGCTTTCATTTCCGTAATAAACACTACTTTATTTATGACTTAAATACTCCATTTCATTAGTCCAATCCTTTCCAATTCCATTTTTTTGGCAGTCCCTCGTCAACGGGTTTACACATCAACACTTTTACTCATTCACTGGACACTTTTTGTCACCAGCAAAAAAATACAAAAATATAAGGAGAACCCTGAACAAATTTTCATTCAGCTCTTGCTCCGTTCTTCCTTTCACAGCATTCCTAAAGAGAATAGAATAGAAATGGGGATTTTTGCCGCCCACAGCTCGGAGCCCCCTGTCAGCAGCGCATCAGACATCTCCTTGTCATTTTAAAGCCATTTGATGTATGACAAATCAAATTTGACAAACTGCCAACAGTTGTTTTGCATCTTTGCAACATTTTTCACAGCAGCCACCCCAGCGTCCTGACGGGGGGACACACATGTGAAATCAACTCCGTACTTAATACAGTATAATGGCGTAGGGAAAGCCCGTAAGGAAGGGAGCTAAAAATTTACATACTCATGTTTCGCAATACGCCGTGTGACATGCAAAAATGCCACTCCGGAGTCCGGACCCCAAGTGAAAACGGTTCGAATGGGGAACCGGATCCGGATGCCAAGCGATGGGTTGGGATTGGGGCTGGGGTTGGGTTAGGATACATGCATAAATGTTCCTCCACGCATGCACATTTTAATGCCCTTTGATTAAAGACAATGATGCCGAAGTTCTGTTAACTCATTTGGGCTTCAGGAATTATGGGGCTCACGTCCGACCGAAACCAAGCGAAAATTGCGGCAAACTTCGCTCTCGCACTCGGGGGAAATAGAAAGAGTTTCCCTGGCCGGGCTTAATTTCAGGGCTTATTCGAGTATGCACTCCATTTCATATATTTTAAATAAAAAGTCAGACCAAGTGTGCACTCTGTCTGACAGTCAAACCGAAGACGTATCCGGCGCAGCAGTCCGGGGAACTAGGGGTGGCCGGAGCAGCCCGAGAAGCCGGAGAACACGGAGAGCCCGGAGAAACGTGAGCTCAATCAAGCGCCGCTGAGTGAAGCAGAGAGTCCGACTGGGGAAATTTACAAGTCACACACGAGCGTTCGAAATATGGCGCATAAAAAATGGCAAAGGAAAAGCCAAGCCAAGGCATGTGGTTGCGTTTTCCCTCTCATCTTTCTTCGGCCAACGGGGGAATGAACAATTTTCGGCGAATCGGAATGGCAGCAAGATGGAAAGCGGAGCAAGTCGCAGCCGTGTCTCAACTGCATTTCGCATAAAAAATTAAAAGTCGCCAGCGTAAGAAATAAGAAATATGCAATTTGCTCGATTTGTGCATGATTTCTCATTGTTTGCATAGTCAAGTGCAGTGGGAGAAATTTTGTCAAGTTTTATAAATATTTGGGAGAGATTTCGTATACCTTTGGAGGAAGGTTCATCACGGGTTTAAAGTAATAGGATGCGAATATGAATATTAAGTCAACTTTACATACTTTTATATAGTTTAGAAAATAAGGTTAAAATATTTATGAAAGATATTTCCCAAAAGCCAAATGAATACCGAATTAATTTGAGTATTACATATAAAACAAGAAAGAAAGCTAACTTTGGCCAATGTAATCCCTAGACCTCCGCCAACATATGATGAACACAACCCACTTCCTGTTGGCAGTAGACAAACCGTTATCGATACAACGCGCTCAGTCTTCCCGAAAAAAGTAGACCCCAAGGACATGGTGTCAGTTTGGCAAGTTATTGCGCTGCACATGGCCCATTCCCATTCGGATTCCCACTCTCGCCCCCATTACTATTCGGTCCTCTATTCCCAACTCATTTCCATGCCCATTTCCATTCTCGCATCCCCATTCCCAGCGCCACCTTTTTTGGTAGTTCCAGTTGCCCTGCAGCGTCTTTGACTTCTGAAGCGCTTTTTTGATTGTTGTGCTGCGATGTTCGGCTGCCGTTTGACTCTTCGCATGAATGACTTTGAGTGGAACTTGGACTGCATGTGGCTGGAAGAAATTGCCGGGATCGGAGACCTGGAGCGGGCCGAGACTGTCCCCTGCCGGTCGGGAAACTACTACTACCTACTACCTGAGCTTTGTACATTTTATATGACGACAACTTTGTCCAGTGACGGGATTCCAGACGCATGTTGCAACTTTGGTCGTTGTCGTCGTCATGTTAATGCCAAGTTTGGCTACCTAAAATCGAGTTATCTACAACCCTGTGCGTGTGCATCTGGGCTGACGTGTCACAGTAGAGCTCCCCTAACTGTGAAAGAAATAGTCAAACCTAAAAATTCGAAAGATTAGGAATAATCCACTTTTACGTATTTTTTTCCTGTGTAAAAGTTTTTTTTAAACAAAATTAGGCTAAGACTCTGATATCAAAATAGTTGCCAGAAAAGGCCGAGTTCAGACTGCAGAAAGTGCACTGTGAAGTTTTAGTGTGTGGGGGGATGTGCTCTACGACAAGTAAATTAGTAATCAATATGAGGAGATTGGAGGAGCTGTTCCAGGGTCCTCTGAGAGGGGCGGCTCTCCCAGGATGCAGCGCTAATCCCATTAGCCGTTGGCTGCACATGCTCTCCCAGCACTTTGCTACCGACACGCACTTGACGTGGCTTTAATAAGCCACCGGGCTGAGAGGGCCAGGCCCGAAAAGAACCAACCCACTGGCTGAGGCACTGGAGTTTAATCAAAAAACTTGCCGGAGTCTGCTGATGGAATGCTACAGGAGCGGGCCGCATCTAAGAGCCATCTTTCAGCATCTTGTGGCACACATAAAGCACTTTGTATGCATGTCGGGCGAAGGGCCTTCCCTGGGCCCCTCTCCGGCCGGCTTCCTGTTCGCCCTGTGTGTTATGAATATAAATTTATTTCCCACGTCACAACACAAACATACACAGACACGGGCACTGGCACAGAATCAAGTGGGCGGGAAGACGCCGGACTCAGACATTTCACACATCGCGCATAATAATAATAATAAACGATAACGAAATTTACTTCCTAGGAAACCGCGAGCACACAGTCCCACTCCACGGACCGCGGCGATGTGTCGGATAAGGATGGGGGATAAGGGATGCTCGTGCGGATGTGGGTGCCACAAAGCGCATCCTTCCCATTTCCGGCACGGGTCCTTGTTGTTATGAAATTTTATGCCACGCAGGCAGAGGAATAGGATAAATAGGGAAGCGCATGAATTGTGCACTCCTCGCTCATGGGTTTTAATTTCGCTAATGCAAAGAAACCGGAGCAGGGTTCCTTCCTTTTTCGAAGGTTTACGCGTGCCAAACTTGGTTGACAAAACAAATTTTTTGTGATAATCTTGAGTGCCTAAAGGTACCCATTTATAGTTAAAGTCTGATAATAGATTTTGGTTATGATTATAGTGTATAAAAAACGGGCTTAACTATGGAAATGTAAACCAAAAAGAAATAAATACAAATTAACTCGGAATATATGTTCATTACAAGTTTATCTTTAAGATATAATAATCCAAGGTAATGATTAATTATTCCAACATATATGAATATAAATAAATAAATACCTACGAATAGAACACTATCTATCAAATATCTCAATCCACTCCAAAACACTTTCGAGAACCACTTTAAGGCACCCGGATCTTTGGTAAGTCCCGGCCACATGTGTTCGCAATTTCTCTAATACGCGTGATATAAGTTTTCATTATGCGTCTGAAAGTCAAAGGAGCCGAAGGATATGTGCGATGTGCTGTATGCTGTGTGTGTGAGCTTCGTGTCTACCAGGGAGCCGCATTACGAGAACGATGATGACGTTGACAGACCTACGCAACGCGGAGCAGACACCCGGCGAGATGGCTTAAAGATTCGCCTTTTTTTTCGGTATGCGGAAGCGCCGACGAAATCGCCAGAAACTCATCTAGGAAATTGTCAAAGTGACAGCTGTGCAAAAGTATTGTGACATGTGTTTAAATGAGCTGCATTTGCGGGGCCCAGCCACAGATACAGTTACAAATAGAGACACAGATACAGACACAGATACAGACAGGACTCGTGTAAGTCCTTAAAGCCACTGCCGCCGAGTCAACTTAATTTCATTTTGCATGAACTTTTTGAATGCCAAACGCAAACATTTGTGGATCCTGACAGACGTTTAGCAAACAAACAAGCCCACCATACACACAAATGAGGACGGACGACAGATGGATAGAGAGTCCAGAGTCCAGAGCGTCGTGTGTCCTGCATCCTCTGCCCAGTGTCCTGTGGAGCTTGCATAATTTAAACGTTGCCTGCGCAAAGTTAACTATTTTTGTGGCGTGCCAATGGATTTCCCACCCCTTACCCCTTCGTCTTCTTTGTTTTTCCGTTGAGTTAGCGCCAATTTAAACAAGTTGGAAGGCCTAGTTGGCCAACCGAATTTTCCCGCCGCGCCCTCGACTCGCTTTCCCCTCCACTGATATCTTTCCCTGTTGTGCTTTTGTTGCGAAATATCCGCCGCCAACTAAATTATCTGCATTGTTTGCATTCGCCCTTTGTTGTTACTGTGGCTGTTGTTGTTGTTGTTGCTGTTGTGGCCACTGTTCGCGTCCTGGTTTCGCAGTAGGTCCTTAGTCTGCGAAATTCATTTAGTGTGTGGCGGCATAAATTTCATGGCTAAAATATGTTTCCCATTTGGCTTTTAGTCCGCCCTCCCTGCTTGCTCACTTTTTCATGGCTCTTGGCTAACTAGTTTATTGAAATTTCCTTTTTCGCCTTTGAGCCGCAAGTGGGTGCAATGAAATCAATTTGGCCGTAAGCGAGCTGGCATTTTAAAGTTTCTGGCCCGAAAAAAAGAAAATGTTGCCATCGAAGGAAATAATTTTGTTACAAAGAATGAAAGAAGAAGGATGTAAAGTGTTTCTTTGTGAAGGTACATACATTCAGGCAATAAATTCTTGTAAAAAATCATTTTAATAAATTTATGAATTAAAAATTAATTTTAAAAATGCTGAAGTAGTAGTTCTACTACCCCCACTTAAGGGTTCATGAGACAAAATCTTATAAAAACGAACGGGACTATCCACCATTAAAATTCCTTTCCGCTTTCTTTATCAATTATCACTGGCCAATTTCCTGCGCGCTCGAGCCAAAATCTCCGCCAGGCCAACGAGATAATCACCACAAGGAGTCGCACATATGCCCGAAGGATTTCCCATTTCGTATTGCGGCCACGCCCCGCCCTTTTACGCCTCCTGTGGCGACGTTTAAGCGACACAAACAAGCAGCGAAACTGACAGTTAAATGACAGTCGGGAGAGATCAAAGGGGTGAGCGGCCTAGACAGACAACAGGCTGCATAAGAATGTGCAACACCCGCAGTATCCCCGATATATCCCCCCATCTGACGGAAGAGTCTTATCCGATATTTGTGCATTGAGTGCGCGTGGAGTGCAAAAAAATACGAAAGAATGAATGAATCCCTTTTATTTGGCTGGAGTTCATTGTCTGTCTTCAGTTGCTTGTAAAATTGCATTTGTCGATTCGAAGGATATGAAGCTGAGTAAGTGGAACTGTGAAAAAGATTGCGGAATAAATGCCATATTGATTTTCCCCAGTGCCTAATTAGAAAGTAAATCTCTTTCAGTCACGTTCTTGGCGCGTCCAAAACTTTCCCTCAACTATTTTAATTGCAATCGAGTGGCTCTATTGATTTGTCTTGAAAGTTTTTCGGCTGCCTCTGTCTCCGCCTCTGAACCGCTGACAAATTGCTTGGCTGCCTGGATGTGAGGTCTCATTTGCATAATTTTACCCTTGAACATAGCCACTGCTCATCTCGGGACTCCAAAGTTCACCTTGAACCCAACTGCAAACATATGAAAATGGGAAAGAGACACGGCTTGGGGTTGACGAACTTCGGGGGCCATTTATCAAACGATAAACCCCTTTTGTTCTACTCAAACCTTAACCTTGTTTCGCTTTCCTTGCCCCTCGTTCAATGTCTCCTTGCGCCGCTTATCTGACCGGTTACACTTGACGTATACGGAATTTCTTGCCGCAAAATGATTAACGATTCAAGTGCCGACTCGTCTGGTCGGTGACTTCTTGACATTGAAATAGGACGAAGCATTTGTCGGCAGGACAATATAGTACCTGCTGTTGAAAGAAGCGGAAATATTAAAAGGAAACCCATTCGAAGTCCTTGACATTTTTCTACAAATTATTTCCTCGAGTTTTCAAACTATTTTTTGGCTTTAGCTAAGGTGGTAAGATTAAGTTTTTCTGGGGAAAAGTTGTTAATTAAAAGTAACTTTTAATGGCATATGAACTAATGGAGAGTTTATTAAGGAGTTATTGTATTCAAGGAGCATTAAAATTATTTTATTAATATATTTTGAGACTTGATTTAATATCGATTCAGATGAATTCTCATCTCATTCTGGAGATTAATTCTAACGTTCTAAATAAGCTTTTTTTCCCCTTGGAAGCCCTGTGGTACATTGCCTTATTTGCAGATTGGGCTTTCCCCTTTGGCTAATTTCAATCACATTCACGTAATGTGCCTGGGCCAGGCCAAATGTTTAACATACCCGTGCTGGTAACTGCAGCTTAAGCCCACAAAACAGCCACTTCACACATGCACACCCGCTGCACACTCTCCCACCAGCACACCCTTCGCACACAAACACACACACTCGAATTCAGACAAACACACTCGCATAAGATTTGCACTCAACCGCTAAGTAAGTTGCCCAGAAGCCATGCCATAGTCTATAAGCAGCGATACGTAAAGCCCAAGGAGAGGCTGCGGCTGAAATGGAACACACACGTCTCACACACACCCACCGAAGTATGTGTTGGCCTGAATTCTGTACGAAACCGGAGCCGTAAGTAGCCTGCAGGTTGTCGGCTGCAATAAGGGAACCGGAGAGCGAACTAAACCGTAGTGGCAATGACGGCGAGAAGGATGCTAAGGATGCATGCGCTCCAGCGTGGGTGGGTGCTCCTCCGCGTCCTCCATCCTGTTGATGCCCATTACAAATGCTCAATATTTTGCAACATTTTATTGTGTCTTCTTCGGTTTCATCGTGAGCGGCAAAAAGATGAAATTTAAAAGGGGAAAGGAAACTTGCTTAACAATTTACAAGCCCGCTGGCTGGCTACCCATGCTTAATCCTTTATGCCGCATCCTTTGGCTGGCCTCCGGCTGGGAAAAAGAATAAAGAACGGTGGCAGGCCAGGCAGGCAGGCGGTGTTGGAAAAAAGTTACCAAATTCTTTGGCGCATTCCGCAGTCCGCCGCTGCTGGCAACACTCAAAAATGTTTGCTGGCGGCCCAATAAAATCATCAGGAAATCCGCAGCCAGCCGGGCCAAAGCTATGGCCACTGCCAGGCAGGCCACTGTCTTTCAATTTCTTCCTCTCCGGCGGAAAAAATGCCTTTTGCCTTTGCCTTTGCCTTTGCCTTTGCCTTTGCCTTGTATCCGCAGTTTTGCTTTTTGTTTCCGTGCACTTGAAACATTTCGCTGGGCTTTAAAAAAGTACAGACAGTCAGGGAATACGCGGAGCGAGGGTCGAAAACTTTACAGACGACGACTTTGCATTTAATTGCTCCTGGTTGCATAGTTGGAGTGTGATCGGATCCTTTGGCTTGTGCCGGAATCAAATGGAACTATTTTCAGGCCAAAGCCAAATAATAATATGCCTGGAATCTGGTCTTGAAATTCCTTTAACTCTGATCGTCTGAGGGTCCTAATTGGCTGGGATTATAGCCCGCCAGCTCTCTTGGTCCTTGGACCAATTAAATTCGTCATAAGGCCAATATCCTGGCCAAGAGATTCCTGGGGGTGCAATCAAGTTGAATCCTTTTTTTCACTAAACACAGCCATAAAAAGCATTGCCCGGACTCCCCACTAGTTGAGTGTTAATGCAGGGGATTTCGAAGGGAGGCGAGTGTTGGGCAAAGCAAATCCTTGCCGAGTACGTGTGGCATTTTCAACGCTCATAAAATCACAAAGTCACGTTCCCAAGGACCAGGGAAGGGGACTCGACAGGACCTCGACTAGCCCGTGTCCATCACCTCTCCCATCTCTGTCTCTCTCACTTAACCACTCCCCCTGGTCCTTTTCGTCCTTTTGTTTTGTAGTTGTCCTGCCGCTTGCTAGGCCAATCTAAACGTGCTTCCCCTGCCAGTCTGTCCTTTATTATGACAAGCTGCGGTTTTCGGGTTTCGTTTGCGAGAGCCCTTCTCTTAAATGTCCCGGAATAAGTCAGGATATATGTATGCATATGTGTGCGTGTTTATATTTAATAGTTTGCTGTTGTTCCGCATATTTATGGGGATTTACGGGTCCATGCTTTGGCTAGTGAAGTTGGCTTGCGGCTAGTTATTGTGATTAATGCTTTGGAATATTCCTGACAATTGTTGCTCTTCGCAGATGTTTTTGCAGACACGATTTGCTTTTATTAAATTGTATTTATAATATTTTCGGGGTAACTTATAGGAATAAAATTGCCTTACTTTTGGACAGCAGGATAGCTAGATTAAAAATGATTACATTACACAAAACTATAATATAGTATATGTAGCCCATTATTAGCAAAAGGAACAACAGAAGTTTGAGTACCAAGTGCATTTGTCTTCTTCAGTGTGTCCATCCTAAAATCCTTATAGAGCTAAAAATTTGTTATTATTAAAAATTTTTAAATGAAAAAACTAATGCTGTAGTATAGACTGAAAACATCAAAAAATATTAATGCAAATGACTTGATTTATCATATTAAAGTGACTCAAAATGAGATCCTGTTTATATTTATATAAAAACAGAGCAATTCAATAAATTGCTTTTATATATTCTCGACTAATACAATAAAAAAATAGGAGCCAACGGATACGTCGTCCTTGTAGAAGTGTCCAGTGAATCGGACGAATCCGCGCGGCACCACTGTAGGCCACATGTTTGTGTTAATTGTTACGTTTTTTATGTAATAATGGCCTTTTTTGATTGGACACAGATCTATATGGATTGGGAAGTTCGTTGCGACACCAAACTCTCCCATTTCTTTCAAGTAGCGCCGATAGGACTTGTAAGTCTTGCAGACGGTATCCTTTCGTATTTCAAATGGGCACAACTTGTAGTTCCCGTCACCATTAACATCATTCCACATGTCGCCGACAAAGGTGTAGTGCTCATTGTCCAAATCCTCTGACAGATCAAAGGTTCCATTCAACGTGTGTTCACGGCCCTTCAGTTTCAGTTTGCTGATGTCAAAAATGGTGGCATTTTCCGACCAGCCCAGTGATATGAAGGTCGTCTTGTAGTCTTTCTTCATCAAGAACTAACGAATTCAAAGGGAGAATTGTTAAAAAATACGAAGTGCACTGTAGTAATGTTTTTTTTTAATAATGGAAGGATAATCCTGGCATTTATATTTTATAATAACCGAAGCCATACATCGCGTTCCTTGGTGACCAGCGCCTCGGTGATCAGCAAAAGAAGAGCAAACACACGCAATGCAACCATAATGGTCAGAGTTCGATTCAACAACAAAAGCTTAAAAAACTTGGAGTAAAATCCATTTTTGTCTTCAGCTTTTATAGGCCCAAACTAATGCCTGTTTTAATTTATATCTGATAATCTGCTAATAAAATTGTAAACATGGGTCATTAAAATTAGCTAGATGGCAATGTTTAACGAATAATCTGTTTATATTGTAAACAGCGGTCATTACAATTAGCTAATGCAAATAAGTTGGCACGACATATTAGTGTTTTTATTTTATAATGATTGCTTGATATGTTATAACTAATTAACTGAAATCTGTGATATTTTAAATATATATTAATCTTAGCTTGTACACTTTACTTGGTAAACTTAACTTCATTTAAAAGTAATTTACGTCTCCATCGTTTTATATTTTCGCTGGTCATTGCAGTGACCCCGAGCTCCAGCTCTTTTCACATTCACCAACCCCACCCACCATCCTCCCGCTCGTCAAACACTTTATGGCCACTCAAATCTCACGCCTTCATGATTATCGCATATATATTTCATGACTTCACACAAAAAATTTGTTGGTAACAATTTGAGCTTTTGTCTTTCGTGTTTGCGGTTGGTTTCCGTTGCCTGTTCCTTTTTCGTTCGCGGCTCTGCCCATTGTATAATTTATGCAAATTTAAATTTCGCACTTGACGGCACTCGCGGCACTTTGCCTTTGCCTTTTTCACAGTTTTTTGGAATTTTGTTTTATGGAACACTTGGCCATTGCTCATTTTATGTTGAGCAGTGCCCCCTGTCCCTGCCATTCCCCACAATGTTTTATTTACAATGTGATCTGATCCCGCGTTACCACCTCTCATTGTCCTCGTAAAATTGCAGCATATGTGCACAGGGCTTACTTGTTTTTGTGGCTCCCACATTTGGGGTAAAAACTTCACGCAATTATGGTCCTTGGGTCAGGCATAAAACTTTCATGGAATATCTGCTACAATTTTAATGAAACCCTCACAGAGGTGGAATAACCCTTGGAAGCCCCGATAATCCTGCGACTCCAACATCATTTAGTCCTCTCAGCTCTGCTGATTTCACGGCTAAGCCAATCAGCCTCCTGCGACTGCATCAAGATGTCCTTCGCGTGGCCAATTAAGGGCTTATCGATTGCGGGAACTTCCTTCCACTCGCTGTCTGAAATTACGGGGATTTATGGGCCGAAGCCCTGTAGGAATATCACAGTTTTTCACTCCCTTTCATCGTCCTTATCCCACTTCAATTAAGCGCTTGAGCGAAGGAATCTACCATTTTTTTGTGCGTCTGCGTTTAAGTTGCATGAAGATTTTCACAAAGCGCTGACTGTGAAATTTGTTGCTCGCCGTCTAAGCCTCTCGTATTCATAACTGGCTTAAGTTGGCTAACGGAAAGAGAACGTAAATGCACTCAAAAAAATTACTCGTAAAAACTAATACACTTAAATAAGAACTAAGAAGTAATTTAAACTTTATAATTAAATTTATAGTATATATAGGATGAAAGTATAATTAATTTTAAAGTCAAAACATCTTCCTTCTTTAAAAAAATTTTTAGCAGGGTAAGGTATTTCATGAATCCTTTTAGTTGTGGCTTGGTTAAGCAAATTAATTTGTTTTTCAAGAATATTTAAAGCTTTCTAAATATTGAAAAGCCCGCAAAGGGATATCAAGGTGAACCGCGAGGCTTAAATCGCACTAAAACGGTATATGATTTAATAATTTATTCCCGGCCAGGGCCGTCAGTTCCTCGCACAGTTCACTGAGCAGCCAAGGGGACCGGCGGAGGGCTGGAGACGTGAGTAAACAGGACGCTGGAAATCATTGCAAGGATATATATATAAGCACAACAACGATGACTGCATTGTGGTAATGGCATTGGGAACCTTTTCCGACCCAGCCATCCTTCTTCCGCCGAGGCAGCTTTGTTGTTGTTCCACCGAGCGACTTCTGTTTGTTTTCGCCCCAGCCATGTTTCCTTTTGGCTTTGGCCCTATCTGATGGCCATGGCAACCATCAGTTTCATTTTCATAAATTCTTAAAGCCATAGCATCCATAGTCATCACATCATTGAAAAATTGCCAGCCAAACTGAACTACTATGTGGGGCCGGCGACTGGGCCAAGGGGCAGGAGGTTGGCTGGCGGCAACCTTTACTTTGATTTGAACATGAAATGCACTTTCGGGGCAGTCAAGTGAGAGTTGCCATCGGTGCTCTCTCCCAGGACTCATCCAGCCACTGGGAATTGTGTGGGCGGTTGCAGGCATTGAAATGCAACCTTTTGGCTATAAGTTACCCAAGCTTGTGTGTCTTCCATTGTAAGGGGGGGGAATGTTTGCTTAAAGTGGCTTACAGGTGATGTGATTGGGTTGAAGGAAAACCAAGTGGACTTAAACTAGGCAATTTAAGATAGGTTTAAGGTAACTAAATGATAATATAAGGTAAGACGATATACTGAAAATGCAGCTAGAAAAATATTAAAAAAATGTATTAAAGATAAACAACTTGGCATTATTTTCATAATGAATTATCTAAGAGAAAGACTTAAGATATTTCCTTGATAGGCTTTTTCAAGATTTAACTATTTAATTCTATAAAATTAAATTTTCTAAAATTACCATGCTTTTCAAAACTCTTTCAAATGAGTAAAGCCCAACCTCCTTGCCACAGGACACAGGCACTCAAAAAAAGATCCTGTATCTTTTGTGTACCCTCTCTGCTAACATCTTTTTCTCGGCATCCTTTCCGTCATTAGGCTATGCAGTTTTTTCCAGGCTTATCGCTGTCTATCTCTATTTCGAAATTCTTTTTTCATTTCTTTGGCTTTTTGTTTTCTTTTTTTGGGTTCGTGTCGGGTGCATTGCACCCTAGACTCTACGGAAATCTCTCTCGCACTTTCCGTGACGCTGCAATTTGAACACTTTGAAGTCCAGTCGAATTTGGACGTCCTGTGTGTGTCGGGCTGCGTTGCCCCCTTCCCATTTCTCTGTCTAATTTTTCCTCGCTTTGCCGGCTTTGCCCTGTGCCGGCCCTCTGGTGCTTTGCTGCTCGTTTCCTTTTGCAACTATTTCAACAAAGCGCAGTGCAGTTACTTTTATGTTTTGTACGTGCCTCCGAGGAAAGCGTCAGAGGAAAAACGGGGCAGGGCAGGGCCAGGAACGGGGAAATCGCCATCTATGATGATGTAGCACGTGTCAACATCAGTTGGAATGGTAACGAATGACGCTGGCACACACTCGTAGAGCCACATGACCGCCTGTCATCATAAATGTCAGGCGGGAAGCGGAGGCTGCTCTGGGTTCCGCCAGATGAAACCAACGCCGACACGCTCCTGCATATCAAAACGGGGTCCGCCACGGGCAATTCGTGGAATAAGCCTATCGAAATGCTAAAGTTTTAAATAGTCCTCCGTATCCATGAGCTATGAAGCCAGACAGACAAAAGCTAAAATTAACAATTTAAGAACCAAGTCTTCTCTCTTATCTACTATTACCTGTTTGTACTCTACCAATTACATATTCAATATATCCGTATATACACTTTGCCAAGCTCCTTATACCAATTAAAAACAACCATTTTATCACCTAGAATACACTTAAAACTCCAAAATGTAAATCGAAAAGCTCTTATTAACCTTACTAATTAACCCTGCAATGCAATAACAATCACCTCGCATTGGCCGTATAATCAAAATGGATTTTCTGCCACGGCCCTGGCCTGGAGGGACTTTCGTGGGGTAATTTGGAAATCCCTGCCACAGAGCTGCCACAAAACTGTCAGAAATTCAATGCGCGTTGCCGCGGCAAACATAATTTCAATTAATAATCAAATCAGACAAACAGGTCCACGGACCGAGCCTCCGCTCAGGACTCACGTGCCACGTGAGTCCCACAAGTGGGTCCGAGGCTGCTCCAAATTGAAATTACCAAGATGTCGGGGGAGGCGACGATGGAAATAGAGATGGAAATGGAAATGCCTGGTAACCAGGTCATTATGGACAGCGACGAGTCTGAAATTAGAATAAAAGTTCGCGGGTGGAGACACGCTCCTCGGAATTGTGTTAATGAAAGCGCCACTGTCTGCAGCCAAAATCTTTATTATTTTGTAATTAAGTGGCTTGTCAAAAAGTTCGGCTCCCCGGACGATGGGCTCAGGTCCTTTGGTCACTTTTATATGCACAGAAAAGCAGGAGAGACATCTAGAAGGATGCTCCTGCTGCCGACGACGACGACGATGATGACGATGATGATGATGATAATTCTGGCAAAGAAAATTGTGTTGATTCAATTTGAAAAGACTCGAATGCTTGGGCGGGCAGCTGAAAAGATAGACAAGTTGTGAACTTGAGTGGGTTTCGTTCCTTCAAGTGGGTATTAGAGAGTCAACCACAAGTCGACAGCTATTCAACTTGTTTGCCTTTCACCCAGCTACTCAGTCTCCCAGCCTTTCAGCAGTTGAAAGAAATATGCAAAATAATTATGCTCTTGACCTCAGAATTAGACGAGATCAAATATACATGTTCCTCTGTAAATATATTTGTGCTTTGAGGTATTATTATTTTGGTTTAAGCCGAGCTATTTTTAAGTTTAACACATCACATTTGCATAATCCTTTAAATATGTGAATATATAATTTAATTAATAAATATGTCTCAATATTAATTCAAAAAAATGTATGAAACAAACGAAATATTTTTACAAAGACAGCCCAAAAAATGCCTTTAAAGAAAATCGAATCGATGGAAGATATTTCCTCCTTTCTGTCCCCATTCAGAGCCCGTCCTGCCCTCGAGAAAATCGTAAAGCACGCGCCACATTTTATTTTCTTTCTTATCTGTAATGATAGATGCCACGCCTACACGCAGCATGCCCGCTGGGCGTGGGAAGAAGGGGACTGGCAGGGGTATGAGACGTATTGTACAGACAACAATTTACAATAAATGGAGTTAAAAGTTACAATTCAAACGCTTTCCGGGGGGCTGCAGCCTGCCATATTGTTGGC